GTATATATAGGAAGCTATAAAATAAAAGCAGCCTAATGATAAAAAAGAGAAGGGGAAAGTCAATCGGCGCGCACTGTATATCTCGATAAACATTGATATTGATTATTCTCGAAAGTTATAGCATGATCGATTCACATTTTTTCTGTTGATCATATAATGACTGTGAAAAATAAATATATCATTAGCCATTATTATTGGCATCTTGAATATAAACTTTTATCTGGGTTAACATGCGAACCTGCATTATTTACAACATTTACAAACGTATTTCAGTCATCAAAATTGCGAGGAAGGTCTTCGAAAATTCTAGAATAATCTAAGTCTTTCTGTCGAAACTGTTCAATATCTTTTTCTTTTACTAAAGAACTTTGAAAAAGGAGTTTGACCATTGTTGTCTTTCGTTGCTATAGAGGCATACACTATGACCGTTCATCTTTATCCCCTTCTCCGTTGCTTTGATGGTGAAAGTCACAAAATTTCTACTTAAAACATACATTCACTATAAAATTTTTCTTCGAGAAATAAATGTTGAATGAGTTAAAAATATGCATGTTTTTGTATTATAGGTGTTCCACCACGAATTCTTAAACCAGCTATGCGTAAAACATGTTTTGATATTGAAGAAAAAATTTCCCGTATTACTGATAATAAAAGAACATCGATCGAACTATGGAAACGTTTAAAAGGTTCAAAAGCAACACGAGAAAGTCGAATGGAAGTTGTCGCATGGATAGCTATCTGTAAATTTGATTGTCGACTTGAAGGTGGCTTTGTTCGTGATTGGGTTGTTGGAAATTATTCAGCTCGTCCAAGTGAAGATCCATCAACATGGTTACATTTTACTCCTAATGCAGCTGGTACACCACTTCCTTATTTGAATAAAGATTTCATTCCATCAGATCTTGATTGTCATTTACCATTACATAAATATTTTGATATTGATAAATTTTTGGATAATTTACATAAGTATCAAATTGAATATAAAGTATTTCGAGAAGATTGGCGTTATATAATATTATTAGATGAAAATACTAAAACTGGTCCATTTACAATGGATTTAATTGAACCTCATGTTGCTTTAACACATGATAGAATTGATTTTGATGTTAGTAATATATCATTAGAAAAAGATTATACAAAAGAATTAGGAATGAGAGTTGATATTACATATAAACCATATTCAATTGAATTAGAAACTATTGTTGATAATATTAAAAATAAACGTTTTCAAATTTTACGTCCAATTGATAAATATGTTCAAGCTCGTATTGATAAAATGGAAAATCGAGGTTGGACACAACTTGGACAAGCTATGCATGTTATTCCAAATCCACCACCAAAATATCAAGTTGTTCTTGTTCCTTTACCTGAATCAACTGAACTATATAAAACATTAGTTCAACAAATGAAATCTTATATTAATACTCAAGCAAAAGTATTATCGATTAATGAAATTAAAAATCCTTTATTAGAAGAAGCTTATTTAGCAATGAAACAATTAATTGCTAAACAATGCACAGGACAAAATCCAAATGAACGTGAATTATTTCATGGAACAAAAGGTGATGCAATTGATGGTATATTAAATGATGGATTTGATGATCGATATTGGGGAACTAAGTCTGGAAGAGGAAAATGGGGTAAAGTATACCAGAATAATTTTTATCTACCATTTCTGTGAAAGACGATTTGGAGGGAATGTCGAAGTCCAAAAGGCATAAATTTGCACTTTCTCCTCTACCCTCTACAGATCGTGACAGACGTTGTTGGTATACGATCACCGACCGCATATCAATAACGGCTCGTTACACTATATTAACTATTGTCTGTTTAAAAAAGGAATGACGGTACGTATTATTGCAGTAACTCAAGAACGAAAAGAGCTACAGAGCTGCAGTTGTTACCAGTCGAAAGAGGGCACATCGGGACGTCTTTCTCTCTGATATTATATTAGACCAAATCATTTTAAAATCAGCCATTTCTACAAAACATTTCAAAAAATGCCTGGAGATGGTATGCCATTTCAATGAAATTTCGGTTTCGATATGAGATTTAGGTAGAGGAAACTGAGATCTCTAGTTTGAAGTATAACTCAAATGATTATCTTCACACATCCTAATATTAAGCCAATAAAATTGTCTATTTACACCCGCGAAAAATATGGATTTCTCTTAATTTTTAAGCAAATTTTCTTACTGATTATCAAGATTTGATCTGAGCGACAGATCTTTTTTATATATTTTTTCGGTGTTTTATAGAAATGGTTGATTTTAAAATGATTTTGTCTAGTATAATATTGGAGAGAAAGATGTCCCGATGTCTCCTCTTTCAATTGGTGAAAATGGCAGCTCTGTAGCTCTTTCGGTTCTTGAGGTATTACAAAAATGCCTACGACGATTCTTTTTTTTAACAGACAGTGCTTCCTATATTGTTTCACATTTCAGTCCTGCTGGAATCACGTTAACAGCTTATTCCTTTTTTTACTTTTCATGTTTTATTAGGTCATGGTGCTTATTTTGCTGATAATCCAAGCGTTTCACATAGATACACTGAGGCCAATTTAAGCGATCATACACGTGTCATATACTATAATAAAGTCGTTTTGGGCAAAGAAGCAATACTTCATGAATTAAATAGTGAATTAATGTCTGCACCCCAAGGTTATCATTCAATACATGGACAATTTGAAGGCCACCCGAATGACGATGAATATATTGTATATCGATATGGACAAGCATTACCATATTTAAGAATAATTTATAAAGCATAATTTTTTTTGGAAGTGATTTGAACTTTATTATGATCATATTCTTATTTTACTCTTGAAGACATATTTAATATAGTTTATTTTAATATTTCCGTTCGTCAAATCTATAATAAAAATTGTCATTAATCAAATCTTGAAAGAAACTATTTTAATTACTAACTACATTCAGTAAAAGAAAAGAAATAAAAACTTTTTAAAACAGTCAACATATCTCAAAAAAGACACGCAAGTAAGTTTTATTTAGAATTTTTCTAGCAACTTATTTCAGATAGAATTCGACAAGTTCTCAAAGACTACTTCAAACAAGTCTACAGATACTACGTTATATATGATCTTGTTCAACAAGTAATTTGGTTCGATCAATGAAGTCGTGACAACATTTATGCAAGAAATATATTACACTTAACAATATTGAAAAAGAAATTGATTGTTTCACTAAGCACAACAAACAATGTTTAGTTTATGCTATACATATTAAATGAGAATATGTTTGGATTAAGACACGAAAAAATAGTTCATGACTGATAAGCAAAAGAAAAACACAGAAAGAAAACTGATAAACTAGTAAAGAAAAATCACTGACAAATAATGAAATGTGTGATAATTTATCTTGAAAAATGATTTAGTTAATTTCTGTTTCTTTCTCCTACTTATATGAAATTATACAGGTCCACTCTGTTTTTTTGTATTACTCTGCGACCCGTAAATGAACGTAATGCATATCATATCTGTTTGTCATTAACAAAAATAAGAATAAAAACTGACTTCTTAACCATCTGAGAAGGTCAGTATCTGTTAATTACAGATAGCACTTGTTTTATTACTTATCCTCACGTTAAACATTGAATATGTAAACAGTTATTGTTTAATTAAGATGATTAAAAAACTTAGTTTGACTTTTGATATTAACTGCAAAAATTTAATTGTTAAAATACTTGCCTAGACAAACTTTTTTTCTTGTGCATGAAGTACTGAAGTATCTTGGGTAAGAAAACGACTGATTTTTCTACATTTAAATGCGCACAAGTTTGAACCATCCTTGAAATTCAACAGAATCATAAAAAACAAACACAAATCGATACCCGATACAATTTATAGATTGAGCAAAGTTCTATGATAGATGACAAGCATCATATTAATCTAGAAAGTTTTGTAAAACACAGATGAATATTTTATTGTAATATGTATAGACATAAATGTACTATTAACCTAAGGATAAATTTATCTTTTATTGATGTTGATTTTATTCTGATCACTTCGAACGGAGAATTATAGAATGTAAACATAGTTCATTTATGCATAAAATGAACATGTAAATTTTCAAAAAAACAAGTCTTTTTTTCTTATTACTATGCGGTCATTTAATAGAAATAAATTATTCAGTTTTATCAACAAATTCCTATGTGTATATAACGCTTCTCTTTTCGATCTTGAATCATAAAATATATTAATGGCAAACAAGCTGTTTATCAATCAATAAATTCATCATCGTTGAAGGACGCTTTGTTAGTATTTCATTTGTCGTCTTTACGTTGAACATTTATAATGATTCAATATTGAATCAAGAATGTTTTCTTGATTTTCCAAAGAAATTAATAAAACTTCATTGTAAGAGATAAATAATGAACTGGTTAATGCAGCTAATTCTTTATTATTAAAATTGTGATTTAATCGAGCGGTCATCGTCCTAAAACCAAATCAGTGAACTGATGAACTTATCAGTCAAAATAGTGTTCTTTGTAAATTATACGTTTTAAAAAGAGTTCAATCAGTAGACAGAAGACACTCGATTACATTATGTTTGTAAATGATAATAAGCAAAATCTTCATGCCGTAACAATACGTGTCAAGTGATATTTATTAATCAAACAAAGGAACCAATTAACAAAAATTAGTGTTAAATAGATAAATAATTTTCCCATGGCAAATGTTAGGTAATTCAAAAGGCTATAAACTCAGCTTTTTTCAATGGCAAATATTCAGAATAATTAAAAAAAATTTGACTAATAATTTTTTTTTCTTATGCGCATGCAACCATTTTTTGAATCCCGAGGTGTTTCTAAGCGTTTGAATAACTTCGAGGCAAATGTGTTTCTCATCGTTCAAAATGGTGTGATTGTGGATGTGGGTCTTCTGTTCAACCACTGGCGTGCACACTCCATACTCACACCCATCCCTCTGAAATATGTTAGAATTACAGCGATATCTACGTTCCAGTAACATTATATTTAAAAAACAACTATTGAAAATGAGGAACATTTTCAGACGAAGGACTATTTCTCAAGAACATTTATTCTGAAGAACATAATTTTGGGGTCATTTTTCACGAGAACGAAAAGCTCAGGACATGTCTCCAAGGACATTCTAGCATGTATTCGAAAATTATACTTCAACAGTTAGTATTTGTACAGAAATATGATAAAACACTCGCAGCGATGATTCCGACGCTCAATGCTGGCGAGCTTTTAGTCGATTTCGAGCGTAAATCTTAGAAAATGCTAAGAACCGGAAGTAGAAAAGAATGTTTGCATTCAGCGTTTAGTTCTGCCTGAGATTGTTCGCATACAATTCTCTTAGGCATGTATATATATTATTTTTTCATTTTGAGAGAATGCGTGTGATCACATACAGATTGGAAATTATTGAGATAAAGAATGAAGATAAACAAATAAATCATTCAGTCAAAATTTTTCGACTCCCTAAAGCATTATCAATGAGTTCGTCAACTAAATATCTTACTATTTTCAACTCATAGAGACGAGTATAAAGTTATTCACCTTTTCTTTGCTTATCATTTCAGTTGATGACTCTAAATACTGTTGTAAATATAGTTCCATCTATGCGCATTAATCTGTTATCGAGACTTTTCAATTTATGATAAGCAAATAAAACTACTTTTATCTAATGGAAAGAAAAAATTTCAGTGATAAACTTTTCACTGAAAGGGACAAAGATATCCAAACGTGTGATAAATAACACAGACGCGCATGGTTTCGTTAAAAAACAGAGGAAAGAATAAGAAGAAACTGGCCTCTTTTGAATCGCATAAGAACTTACGTGAAAGATTAGAATGAAACAAAAGTGTCTATCAAAAGGAAAATAAAGAAAAAGTCAAGTAAAAAGGAGAAAAAATTACATGATCTCGAGTATAAAAAATGAGAGATTTTTCTGAAGGCGTCTCACAATGGAGATGTTTCTATTATTAGTTAATAAGACTAGACATATTCGGATCGAATACAAACTTTCTCCGCCAAATTAACAAATTTAAAAAGAAGACTGATCTTGGCATGCATGAATCCAGATGTTCGAAGTTTAAGGTATTTACAGTATATGTAAAATGCTCGCAATTCTAAACTTTAGCAGAGTATTTTTCTTTCGTCTTTCATGATGATTGGATTGAGCTTGTTGACATGCATAAGAAAAAAAATTTTACCTAATCTGTGATGCAAAAATAATCGGATAAATGTCGGACTCTATTTCTCTTCGAGAGAAAGCTACTGAAAGAAAATTTTTTTACCAGAAGATAGAGAAATTTCCCCTCTTTCGAATTGTATGCAATCTATTTTTACCACAAGCTCATAAATGATATGTCATAATGGGAAAGAAAAGCACCCTCAATATAGCTCGGGACCTTTTTCTTTTTTATAAAAGTATTGCCCAAAATGTTGACCCTTATATCTCTTGAATAAATAGTTTCTGAATAGAATCCTTTTTTATCAGTAGATAGGAAATTCTCTCTTCTTTCGAACAACATGTGATTCATATTTGCCACACATTAGTAAGTGAAACGAGAGGAGAAACAAGGGAAATACTTGCACAATAAATTTATAAGTTTTATGAGTTCATTAAAAACATGTTGCGGACAACAGTTAATTACAATTAACTGTCAGTTCACAAGATGTTTTTTTCATGACATCATAAAAGTCGCAGTAACTACCGGTTTACAAAATAGTTTTGATGGATCTACAAAGATCGCATTAATTGTCGACTAGCAAGATGTTTTTGAGCAGTTCACATAAAAATTAGAAATTTCTTGCGCCGCTGCTTCTCTGTTTTTCTTCTGTCATTTCATTTATGAATGTGTAATGAATACAAATGATGTACTGTTCAAAAGAGGAGAAAATTTCTTATCAACTGATAAAAAAAAATAATTGTTCTAAGACATGTTTACTAAAAAAAATATAAGGACTGATATTTTCTACCGTTATTCTACATAATGTGAAAATTCGGGGGTCATTTCGAGGGTGCTTCTCTTTCCTGTTGGAACATGTTATTTATGAATTTGTGGTAAAAAAAAAACATTTTTGAATAGCTTTCTATTGAAGAAAAATATGGTTCAGCACTTGGTCCCATTACTTTTGCACCATAGGTTAAGTCAGAATGCTAGGTCTGTTTTCTGTTTTATCTGAAGATGGTGGTATATAGGATATTTTTTGTGAAATGTTCCTTTTTTTATTTGAACCATACCTTATCTTATGCAAATTGATCAGCTCTATCCAACCATCACAAAGGAAACTTAGCTAAAATTTTGACTTGCGAACATTTTATAAGTACTGTAAACTCCTTAATCTATATATATAATGTTCAGTGTCTGTCTGTGTGTTTGTCTGTCTGTCTGTGCCGGGTTAAAGGTCAAAGGTCAAAGGCTAATGGTTAAAGGTTAGGAATTCGAGAATTTTCACCATCTGGAATGCCCCCTCATAAGCTTAAGTTAAAAATTGGTGCAATAGTAATGCTTCTTCACAACCTCGACGTAAAGCAAGGTTTATGCAACGGAATTCGACTCATCGTACGATAGTTACAAAATCATACGATTGATTGTGAAGTCGCAACGGAATCTAATATGGGAAGCCGAGTTATAATACCCAGAATTACAATGACATCATCTGATATATTTTTGCCCTTCAAATTACGGAGACATCAGTTCCCACTCCGACTTTCATTTGCTATGACAATCAACAAATCACAAGGACAAACATTTGAACGATTAGGACTAATTCTAC